GGACATTTAATCAACTACCAAGCTTTGTGTTTTGTCTGTCTGTCTGTCTGTTTGTTTGTTTGTTTAAAAATGCAACACAACAGTTTGATCTGCTCCTGACACGATAAATAAATAATGCCCGCATCGACCAGTTTCCCTCCTACCTCATCCCATGGGGAGGGGGGAAGCATCTGTCATTCAGCTCCCCCCCCCCTCGCTCTCCGTTAACTCCTAAGAACCTCTAGGTCCTGTAGTGCAGCAACTACAAGAGGCTGGTTATACTCACTATCGAGGGCCTAGAGATTCACAGAGGAAACAGATCTCAAGGAGTCTACAGGGTCATCCAGTATGATTCTATGGTCAACTTCCAGAAGATGTTGAGTCAAGATATTCCTAGAGAGAGCTCTCTGGAAAACTTTTGCAGGGGTTCTCTTTCCCTAACCTCAGCAAATCTAGATGACTGACTTCAGTGATGATGATGGACATCCTACTGATTCCGCTCCTGTGATTCTCCAACACCTTCCTCACACTAGAGAATGAATCCACTTTAAATCGGGTTTCTGCCTCCTGCAGAATTTTTGGATTTGTAGTTTAGTGAGGCTGTTAAGGCTCCTCCCTAAACTACAAACCCCAGAATTCTGCAGGAGGCAGAAACCGGGTTTAAAGTGGATTCATTCTCTAGTGTGATGAGATCCTAAGAAAAAGCACCACTGAACATAGTGTGACTTCTTGCTGGAGTCTGGAAAATTACACCAAGGATTGTCTTGCAAGTTAGTAGTGTTACAAAATGTACAACATCCTCAGTTGAAGATAGAAACAAATAACAATTGACTACCTAGTGTTTTTCTAATTGCTTGTCAGCATTCGGTGTGATATTTAATATACTGGTTAAATAACTCACTGATGTACAACCAGCAGGTGGTGGTAAAGGACAAATCTCATTGACGAATAAAACTTAGGGTTCAGCCACACTGTGGATTTTATGCACTTGACACCACTTTAACTGTCATGGCTCAATGTTATGTAATCTTGGGGTTTGTAGTTTGGTTAGGCATCAGTGTTTTTAGGCAGAGAAAACTAAAGATCTTATAAAACTACAGCTCCCATGATTCCATGACCTTGAGGCATGGCAGTGGGGTCAAACTGCAGAAACACCTTCAGCCAGCTTTGTAAATATTAATCCTCATTATCATGACTGTGTTGTCTGTTGCATATGATGAACCCATTAATTCCACATGATTTTATCCGACAAGGAATATTTGGAATGTATTTTGCCAGTTCCTTCTTCTGAAATATAGCTTATAGCTACCTTGTGCTGGGATAGCCAGCATTCAGGCACAGCTATTTGTATGGTGCCATTGCTATATTATGATTGTATAGTATTTTGGCTACTTTCATGTAAATCCATCCTACTGTCTTTGAATTATGTTGACCCAACAGTGTTTGGAAATGGCTGTCTTTTCAGATTTTTTAGACTGGGTTTTTAATCATCCTAAAACAGTTGTACAGTGGTAAATGTTGTCATGTTGTCACTTATCATAAACATCCCTGAAATCAGAACTACAAAGAGACTGCACAAAACCAGGTAGACATGCTAGCAATGCTAGAGTTGTTTCCATATCCAGCAAGAACAGCTAACAACTTATTCATTCAAAAATAAGTCTCCCTGAATATCCAGCAATAATAACCGGGATAAGCTCACTGTGATTTAGTTCTTAGGAGAATTTATTCTCTTCCCTCACTTAATGTGAAGATTGCAGGTAAACCTAAAGAGAACAGGAAAACCTGTGTCATGATATCATAATTTCTATTAATGCCACATTCCTGGCATTTCAATGCTGTGTCCTGTCTCCACTATACCCGATAGAAACATGATACAAACCAATAGGATGGTAGGGTGGAAAGATAATAATATATGTCCCTATATCTTGACTTCATGTATACTTCAAGAGCAGGTTTGGGGGGCAAAATTATGGATTTTGATATGACCTGTGGATAAGTCAAGGTTCATCTCACAGAGAGTGGGTGGTAGCTTCTCAGCTCCAGGCATTCTTGCATGAAACCTATTACTTTGATCCATCACAATCTGGTTTTAGGCCTGGTCACGGAACGGAGACAGCTTTGGTTGCCTTGGGGGATAATGACCTCCGCAGAGAACTTGATAGGGGTGTGGGATGTGTTCTTGTTGGTTCTCTTGGACATCTCAGTGGCTTTCAATACTATCAACCATGGTATCCTTTTGGGGGCAGTTCTCCGGAATGGGTCTTGAGAGCATTGCATTGCAGTGGCTCCACTCCTTCCTGGAGGATCACACCCAGTTGGTGAAGCTGGGGGACACCTACTTGGACCCCTGGCCATTGACTTGTGTGGCCCCACAAGGTTCCATTCTATCTCCCATGCTTTTTAATACATGAAACCACTGGGAAAGGTCACCTGGAGTTTTGGAGTTTGGTGCCATCTATACGCAGATGACACACAACTCTATTACTCCTTTCCACCAAAATCCAAAGAAGCCTCCCAGATTCTGGACCAGTGCCAGACAGCTGGGATTGACTGGATGAGGACTAACAAACTGAAACTTAATCCAGACAAGACGGAGGTCCTCCTGGTCAGTCATGAGGCCGATCAGGATATAGGGTGGCAATCTGGGCTTGATGGGGTTACACTCCTCCTGAGGACACATGTCTGCAGTCTGGGGGTCTTCCTGGACTCAGCACTGATACTTGATGATCAGGTGTTGGCTGTGGCTGGGAGAGCCTTTGCACAGTTAAAGCTTGTGTGCTAGCTGTGACTGTACCTTGAGAAGTTGGACTTGGCCACAGTGGTTCATGTCTTAGTCACATCAAGATTGGATTACTATAATGCATGCTATGTGGGGCTGCCTTTGAAGACAACTCAGAAACTGCAATTGGTTCAAAGATCTGCAGCCAGGCTACTAACCGGAGCCAGCAATAGGGAGCACATGATGCCCCTACTAAAGCAGCTGCATTGGCTGCCTATAGGTTTCCGATCGCAATTCAAAGTGTTAATTATTAGGCATGTGTAATCCGTGGTTCTAAATGGTTCTAAAGTACTTACAAAACTAACGTTCTGGTGGTGAAAACTAGGGGGTGCTGGTGCTTTGCTTCTACAGTGTTGCTAAAGTTCTGGTCGTGAACATTTCAGAACTCTAACAAAACTTTCAAAATTTCATTATAAATGGCAGTTCCTAATTGGTTCTGTCATAAAAATCATCAATAATGAAATAATAATGAAATTTTGAAAGTTTTGTTAGACTTCTGAAATGTTCATCACTAGAACTTTAGCAACACTGTAGAAGCAAAGCACCAGTGCCCCCTAGTTTTCACCATCAGAATTTTAGTTTTGTAAGTACTTTAGAACCATTTAGAACCATGGATTGCACATGCCTACTAGTTATCACCTATAAAGTCCTAAACAGCTCAGATCCTGCCTATCTTCATGACCAAATCCCCCCTATGAACCGACATGGGCTCTTAAGACCTGCTGTGGAGGCCCTCTTCTCGGTCCTGCCACCGTCACAAGTATGGTTGGTGGGGATGAGAGAGAGGGCTTTCTCAGTGGTGGCCCCATAACTTTGGAACTGCCTTACCAGGGAGAATAGACAGGCCTCCACACTGTCCTCCTTTTGTAGGGATTTGAAGACGTGGCTCTTGAATCAAGCCTTTGAGAATATTTAGCCCCTAGTTGTCCTACTTAGTAGTTGCACATCCTGCACTTTATCCCATACCCTCTCCCCATTACTGCAACTGGCACTTATTTTATTCCAGTGCTTACAGTCTGGCCATGGTTACAGCTTTATTGAGTCTGAAGTGATATTTTTTATATGTGCATTTGTTTTATTTTATTGTATGTTAAATTGTGTTCACTTTTATGTTTGTTTTAAGCGCTTTGTGCCATCTGTAAGCTGCCCTGAGTCCATCAGGGGAGATTATTATTATTGCAGCAATGCTTTCCCAAGGGGTAGACACCATTTCCCTGACCAAACATTCAAAAAGGATAAAACCACCATGGCAGAGAAAGTTGATGGTGTGTGTGTGTGTGTGTGTGCGTGTGTGCAACTCTACACAGAGAAGGGCACAGTTTCTTTTTTGTAAGAGTTAAGATATAACATTCATATCAATTCATGGATAAATTAATCCGGTTTGAATTTTTTGACAAAAAGTTCTAGACTTGTACATGAGTACAGTGTTCCCTCACTTATCGCGGGGGTTCTGTTCCAGGACCACCTGCGATAAGTGAAAATCCGCGAAAGAAGGGATGTCATATTAGTACTAATATTTATACATTATTTTATATATATTATATATTATTTTCTTATCCACGCTTCCTTACCCAGCTCCTGGCCCATCCCAAGGGCACCCGCCTGCCTCCCTGGCCTCCACAGAGCCTCCAGAGCCACGTAGGCAGCAGCAGGCCAGGGAAACAGGCCTTCCCCACTGTGCCTCAGGCTGCCACACTTCCAGGGTCCCTGGCCTCCCTGGCTTCCACTGAACGTACATATTTAATATTTAATATTTTTATCAATATTTTCAAAACCCTGCGAAACAGTGAGTCCGCTAAAAGCAAACCGCAAAGTAGTGAGGGAACACTGTATATAGGATACTGTGAATGCCTTTTAAACAAAGATAAAATTGATAACCTTAATAAATGTTTGGATAGACTTCATGAAATCCCATTAAACACCAAACAACAAAGTTCAGGATCTAAATAGTAGTACATTGCAAATGTGTTTTGACCTCATAGACCTTCTTCAGCTTTGACATGGTCCTACCATATACATAATGATTGCATAATAGCAATACTAGATAAAAAATAACAACAACAATCCCCCCTTTTCTTTTCTCCCTCTTTAGACCCCCTTTTTTCCTCTCTTTTCTCTTTACTTCCCTCCCCGCATTTTCCACAGTCTACCCTACATGCTACCCCTCTTTTATGCAAACTTGTTCATTTGAAAACCACAGTAAAATTACTTTAAAAAAAGAAATGACAACAATAACAGATCAATCAGGGGAGAAACAAAACATACCTGGTATTCTGTTCAATGTCGTCCAGAAATGTTCGTCGGGACTGTAGGTATCTTTGGACCACTCAAGGAGGTCAAGAGAACGTTGATCTTGGAGTATGAATTCTGCAAATTTCCTTGTAAGAGCAACGTAGGCAGAGCCAAAATAGATCGTGAGGCCATGCGGAGGAGGTGATTTCCATAATAAAGTAGGTAGAATGACAGAAAAGACACCAAATCTTAGTTCTCTGTGGATATATTTCGTCCTTTTGAGAATACGAGGAGGAGGCAATACTCCATCAGCAATGTTTTTCCCCTTGAATTTTTTAAGATGTTGAATAATTTCCTTGTTGGTTTTCAAGGGGAAATCTTGCCCGCACATGTTGAGAAGGTATTTCCAGGGCACCTCAGACTTCACAAGATCTTTCATGCAGTTTAAGTCAGCATGAAGCCGGGATATCCCAGCATACACCACTGCCTCTGACTGTGAAGCAAGGAAGGCATTGGGGAAGCAGCCCAACAATTGTGCCACATTCTTCTTGTATTTTTCAGGGGCCTTCTTATCCACATGGATACAGTAAATGTTTTGAGGCATATAGATAGCCCTGAAGACCCTCTCAAAAGTTTCAAACTCCTTGTGCAAAGTTATCATGTAGGCTAAAGGAAATGAGGCTTCTTCTTGAGAAAGCGATTTGGTAATATAGTGACTCTGGATCATGTAATAGCTGCAGTTAGATTTCCCAAATGATGTCTTTTGCAGGTTTTCTTGCACAAAAAGGCTCTTTCCCTTCACAATTGCTTTGCAAGTTTCTTCCAAGGTTGTCTGATTGTAACTCCTTGGGATATTTTCACCAGAGAGTTTTGATGTATACACCAAGATTGAAAGCGGAATACACAAGGTAAAAAATATTAGGAAGTACCGCATTCGTGAAATCGTAGTCATTGTTGGAAATAGCTGTTTTGTCTCATCCTAAATATGAAGCAAAAACAAATACAGTATTCAGGGTGATGGCTTTTGAAAAAAAAAGGAACAAGTTTCTAAAATAACAATGCAGAAGGAAACCGATATCTTTAAACCAGTGTTTCTCAACCTTCCTAATGCTTTGACACCTGCATACAGTTCCTTACGTTGTGGTGAACCTCAACTATGAAATTATTTTCGTTGCTACTTCTTAACTGTAATTTTGCTACTGTTATGAACCATAATGTATCTAATATGGAAGATGATTTTTCATTCACTGGATCAAATTTGGCACAAATACACGATACGCCCAAATTTGAAACTGGTGGGGTTGGAGGGGGGTTGATTTTGTCATTTAGGAGTTGAGGTTACTGGGATTTATAGTTCACCTGCAATCAAAGAGTGTGCTGAATTGCAACAATGGAACTGAATCCAACTTGGCACACTGAACTTCCATCACCAACAGAAAATACTGGAAGGGTTTGGTGGGCATTGACCTTGAGTTTTGGAGTTGCAGTTCACCTACATCCAGAGAGCACTATGGACTCAAACAATGATGGATCTGGACCAAACTTGGCATGAATACTCAATATGTCCAAATGTGAGCACTGGTGGAATTTGGGGGAAAATAGACCCCCAGAGAAGGACAGCCTTCTCTGTCCAAGGATTTCCTAAGACCATCAGAAATATATGTTTTCTAATGGTTTTTGGTGACCACTCTGAAACACCCTTGGCATTTGGGAGTTGTAGTTGCTGGGATTTCTAGTTCACCCACAATCAAAGAGCATTGTAATCCCCAAGCCTTAAAGGGACTCACTGGCATGAGCCTCCCTCCAACCTTGCATGCTCTCCCTCACCCGCACATATGCACCACGCTGCCATGCATCGAAACAACCCTCCCCTTGGCTGAAAGGCTGGCTGAGAAGACAGCCAATCACAGTGGAGAAGGGCTTTTGGTGGGAAGATTTGCCATGTTTCCAAAAAGGAAGAGCCTTCTCTGTCCAAAGGGTTCCTAAGACCATCAGAAATAAATGTTTTCTAATGTTTTTGATGACCCCTCTGAAAACCCCTTCATGACCCCCCCCCCCTCCCCAGGTCATGACTGCCAGGTTGAGAAACACTGCTTTAGACGATGGATCTGAGACTGGCTAAAAAGGGTTCATTGCTCCAGAACACATAGCTCTGTAGATGCTGTTAGACTGTCCCTCCTACAATCAGTGACCATAATACAATTTTGTTTGTTGTTGACTCATGGCAGTTATAGTGATGCCAACTACATTGCTTCTATAGCAAATGGACCCATAATCTCCAGAAGTATGTATGGGCGAAATTTTGGTCTCAATTTTGAAAGACTGGTAGACCAACTCATAGGTGGGGGAAGGGGAGAGGCTACACAAAGCCACATGCTACAATCGATGGGATGCTTCCCTTCCCAGCTCTGGCAAATACATCATTTTATACAATGAGAAGAAACAACACAAATCTATCCAAAAGCTCGCTAAAATACAGTTTTCATTATTTACAACGTAAACAGGTATCGTGGGAATGGTCCATATAGAAGGTGTGGAGATAGAACATTTTAGAAAAATTGCCATGACGGACTCATGATGTCATACCAACTCTTTGTAAGCAGCATAGGAGTGTCCCAGCATCTAGGCAACTGTGGGTATAGTGCTGTCCTAACAAATTAGCAAAATATTATTTGGAAGATAGATGATAACCGGTACATCTGAACACATCTCTCTCTCATACACACACTCCCCCCCCCACCCTGCACACACACACACACAAATACATGCATATACTCACTACATTTGACCTGGACGGATATATTTTTCAGGAAGGTGAATGTGAGAGCGATGCTAGATGTGGCAAATGCATGCTTCAGAGTTCTATCCAGCAGGGATTGAGGGTGGGTCTAGATACTGTCAGCAGGCAACAGGCTGACCATTCCTGATCTATATCACTGTCATGAGTCAGGACTTAGGCATTAGGGATGGAGAGAATCTTACAGCTTACTCCGTGTAATGACATCTCCAGAAAGCATAAAACCAGGAATCTTTGGAGCAGCTGGGGTGACCACAGAATGGAGTTTGCCCACAATCCCTTAGATGGGAAGGAGAGAAGACAGGAGAGAGCTCCTTGCCAAACATTAGGGAGAGCACCTACATTGTCTGGAGCCAGTTTAAGGCATATCTCTGGCTGGATCTACACTGCCATATAATCCAGTATCTGATCCCAGATTATCTGCTATGAACTGGGTTATATGACTCTACACTGCCATAGAATCTAGCCCAAGGCAGATAATCTGGAATCAGATACTGGATTATGTAGTAGTTTAGAAAGGATCTCTGACCCCTGTCTCCTACTAGAAATGATTGTCTGCTTTCTGCTTTGGCTTGGTATGGCAAATGCTGTTAGACTCTCACAGCCTTGGACTTTATTTGCTTGATGGATGGCTTGACTTCTCTCCTACGTGTCTCCAATGCATACAGACTACTACTGGCAATAATGTTCCCAGGGACTTTTGTTAATTTATTGCCCTTTCTTCAGGCCCGTAGCCAGGATTTCATTTTGGGGGGGGGGGCTGAATTTTTTCAGGGGGAGGGTTCGGGGGGGTGAGTTTCGGGGGGGGGGCTGAGTCTGAGTGAAAGAGGGTCTACCCTAGCAAACCTTTTGTATCATTACCCCAATACCCCCATGCATATGGGATATATTGAGTATGGTGATCAGATCATGATATGAATAAACATAACAGTTTAAATAATGCACCAGTAAGGCCTTTTCGCGAACCACCGTGAGAATTTCGGGGGGGGGGGGCTGAAGCCCCTCAAGCCCCCCCCCCCCACGGCTACATGCCTGTCTTGCTGCCCTTATCTACATGAACTCAAGAGTTAATTGTTGTGATGCGATGGCAAAAAAAGCCAATGGGATTTTGGCCTGCATCAATAGGAGTGTGGTGTCTAGATCCAGGGAAGTCATGCTATCCCTCTATTCTGCCTTGTTTAGACCACACCTGGAATATTGTGCCAATTTCTGGGCACCACAATTGAAGAGAGATATTGACAAGCTGGAATGGGTCGAGAGGAGGGTGACTAAAATGATCAACCGTCTGGAGAACAAGCCCTATGAGGAGCGACTTAAAGAGCTGGACATGTTTAGCCTGAAGAAGAGACGGCTGAGAAGAGGCATGATGTATAAATATGGGAGAGGAAGTCATAGGGAGGAGGGAGCAAGCTTGTTTTCTGCTGCCCTGGAGACTAGGACACAGAACAATGGCTTCAAACTACAAGACAGGAGATTCCATCTGAACATTAGGAAGAACTTCCTGACTGTGAGAGCTGTTCAGCAGTGAAACTCTCTGCCCCGGAGTGTGGTGGAGGCTCCTTCTTTGGAAGCAGGCATGTAGCTGGGGGGGGGGGCTTGAGGGGCTTCAGCCCCCCCCCCCCCCCCCCGAAATTCTCATGGTGGTCCGCGAGAAGGCCTTACTGGTGCATTATTTAAACTGTTACGTTTATTCATATCATGATCTGATCACCATAACAATACAAAAGGTTTGCTAGGGTAGACCCTCTTTCACTCAGTCTCAGCCCCCCCTCCCCCCCCAAATCAGCTACGGGCCTGGTTGGAAGTTTTTAAACAGAGGCTGAATGGCCATCTGTCAGGGGTGCTTTGAATGCAATTTTCCTGCTTCTTGGCAAGGGGTTGGACTGGATGGCCCATGAGGTCTCTTCCAACTCTATGATTCTATGATTCTATGTTTCTTCCCGGTCTATGAGAATGTGAAAAACTTGAATGAGGATAATCGCAAAATCCTGAACGAGGACAATCATAGCACATCACAATCAAAATCTGGAAAAGTTACTTTTTTGCCTACTGTTTCTAGAATCTCTCAGGAGACATGGGCACAATCCAAATAGCTGAGGGTAGCTGAGGGTAGAGAACACAGGGTGGAGAGCTGCATTTAGCTGTAGTAATATCTGGCTCTCACAACACAGTGATCAGATTGCAATCTGATGATTACATATTGCTCCAATCTTTTTAAAGCACAGAGGCAGACTGGTTTATGAGCCTCTAATGTGGAAACACAAGTCCCAAAAGGATTATTTGCCACATGATTTATCCCTCTGATATATGAACTCTAACTTCAAGTTAGGATCAGACATAACTATGCTTGGCAAAATTATCCTTTAAACTACAATTACCAGGTTCCATCAGCTAGCATTGCATTGGTTACAGTGCTAAGGAATTCTGTGAAATTGTCATACATAAATGATTGTGTGAAAGACAAGTATGGAGAAGAAGGCAAGCTGAAATCCCACTTACCATCCAAAGGAGAGCAAATCCTGGGTACGGCGATGGCCAGAAAGTGACCCCTGATAGGCAAGCTCCTGCAAAAGAATTTGTGGAGTTATTTATCACCACAGATATTGAGCCTGGAATGCTGCATCCGAATCTGGGGAAGTGAGAGTCAAAAGTAAGGTGGAGAGAAAGAAAGAAGAGCAGGAACTAAAGCAAGAGAAGCTGGAAGAACCAGAAAAAGGGATGAAACTAAAGGCTTTGTATGTTTTCTTGCCTTCAGGGTCAGGGTCTGGTGATAAGTTTGGTTCTCCCTGCCCCCTACCTCAGCCAGGATTGCTGAAACCTTTCCAGCATATATGAGATTAAACTACAGGCTCCAGCATGCTGTATCGTGTGGAAGTGAAATGAAATAAATTAAAATAGAAGGTGTAGACAGAATTAGAATGGCCTGGAGGGAAAGAATTTTTTTTAACTGCAGCTGAATATGAAATCCAATGGAATGATCATTATCAGGAGAAGCAATTTGATCAAATGACAAATTACACAAAGGCATTAGAGATAGCTACAAGGAATATTTATGCAGTTTTTGTAAACATGACTGAAATAAGAATCAATAAGCAGTAATCGGCAGGATTTCTGGAAGCAATTTCATCACTACCATCTTTTTATTCAGGATGGCTTTTAAAGAAGGAGGTTTTAAAGATGAAATCAAGAGCTGCTGTGGTCTTTAGTTCTGAATTTATTTTTTAAGGATTTTTAAAAATACCGATATTTAATTCTGTTTTAATGCTTGTATATTTGAAAAATTTAAATCATATGGAAATGCTTTTAGTATAAACTGTTTGATGGAGAGAAAAAGTGGGGTATAAATAAACCCCATAATAATAATCATTTTTATTTCACTGAAAAAGTCTTTAATAATTTTTTGTAAAATAGCAATAATATTAGAAAAGTCAATGATAGATTCAAAGTGTAAACTCTGCAAAGAAACAGATGAAACAATGGATCACATACTCAGCTGCTGCAAGAAGATCATGCAGACAGACTACAATATGAGGATTTAAAGTTCGAACTGCAAAGACTTTGGCACAAGCCAGTAAAGCTGATCCCAGTGGTGATCGGCACACTGGGTGCAGTTCCTAAAGAACTTGGCCTGCACTTGAAAACATTCGTCGCTAACAAAATTACCATCTGTCAGCTGCAAAAAGCCACCCTACTTGGATCTGCACACATTATTCGCCAATACATCACACTCTCCTAGACTCTTGGGAAGTGTCCGACATGTGATCGAATACAAAAGCTAGCAGAGTGACCTTGTTTGCTGTGTACGAATTTTGTTGTGTATCAAATATTAATATTAATAATAATAATAATAATAATAATAATAATAATAATAATAATCCCCCGATAGGTGCCACCTTGTGGTGGTGGTGATGGGGGGGGGGGGGCTTAACTGCTCCAAGGATGCTGAGAGCTGTGCTGGCAGTAGTGTAACTACCAGCAGGTCCAACCAAATCAGAGAGGTCTCAGCTGAGGAATGGAACTAAGAGCACCTAACACATTAGCACTATGGAAAAACAAATCAAAATGAAGTCTATACTGGCTCAGTCGATGCCTTTTTAGGACAGTGGTGAATGCTGCTGATTCTGGACATCCATTGACAAGTTGGCTACAGAATCAAAATACAAATTTTGTATTTGTATGAACAGTCACAGAGGTGGCAGAAATATACAATGCCAGAAAACCCCACAGTTATGAAATGCCATTACAAATCAGAACCTCAAAAGTGTGGCTACCAAAAAAGGATGTATCAATTGTGGAAATAAGAGTACCCTGACTCACAGATAACTGAAGTCTGGCTGGCTGACCAACCAAATTCATAATCAGAAACAAAGTGTTTGGTGAAGTTGAACTTGAAGAAATTCAGAAGATTTGCAAAGCATCAGGTCACATTACAGACAATAGCAGAGACTCCAGCAACACTTGGAACTGTGGAACAGACTGAACCAGGAAAAAATGTGGAGCTTTTGCAAGAATTTGAAGAACCAGCACTTGAAGCACTTGTTGAACTACTAGGAACATTGAAAAAAAAACAAGAGCTCAAGGATGAAATCATGGCTCATGCTGTATCAAATGCAGTAAGAAAGTGACTCCCAACTTTAAAAATAGTGTCTAAGAGACACCTGGCGCCCCTCATGAAGGATGTGAATACATTATTTTCTACTGTCCAAGTATTCTCCATTGAACAAACAAACCAGTTTGCCTACAGTACAACAATGACAGAAGGGCTTGGGCCCCTATAACCAATGCAGCCTCCAAGGAAATGGACTGGAAAACCAAAGTGAAAGGTCAGGTTGGAGTTGAAAATCAAAAATCTATGATCAGATGCAAGTAACCTGAAAAATATGGAGGAAAAGAAACGGAAGAATGAGAAAATCAAGCAATACTTGATTAAAAAGTACTAGCTGAATACCAGAAAAATTGAAGAAGCTTTGGAAATCATGAAAGAAGCAACAGCCAGAAAACTGAGAGATATGAAACCAGAATAATCCAGGATAGACGAAATCAACTGTTTCAATCAGACCAAAGACGGTTCTACCAGAGTCTGAACCAAACAACAGACACAGTAGCCATTAAGCCTGAGAAAACTGCAACAACTAAGTTTTGGAAAGAACTTTAGGAAAATAATAAGAACTACAACAAAAATGCTGGGTGGATAAAGGAGTCTGAAGAAAAATTCTTAGAGAACAAAATGGAACAGATGGAAATAACAACTGAAATGATCAGCAAATGAGTGCAGAGAGTCAAGAACTGGACATTGCCTGGTAGTGATCAACTGCATGGATTTTGGCTCAAATATCTGACTAGTCTACATGGAAAAATGGCCCAACAATTCAATGAGATGCTGCAGAAAGGAAGTATTGAAGGAGGCCCCAAGGGTCTCTGAGTAAGGGGTTTTTGGGTGAAAAAGCTAACAAAATCAGCAAAAGAGAGATACCCTTTCTCTGACTTAAAAAGAGCAATATGAAAGAAAGTGTTTTTCTAGAAACGAGATGTGACATTTAGAAGGTACTTCTCACACAGGATGTTTGTGGTGAGCTTCAAATATTGTTTTTGAAGTGCACGTGCACAAAAAGGTACTTTCCATCAAAAGGTCAAAGAGTGGGGGCTGGAAAGAGAGTACTTTTCCATGACAAAAATGTTCTGTTTACTTCAGGGTATATATTTGGTGGTCAAAAGCCAAGACGGGGCGGCAGTCATTTTGAAGCTAACTTCTGTGCAAGTTGCTTGACTGTCCGTCTTTCTTCTGGAAGAAACTAAAATAAAAACCTTGTTTTTTGATCTTTCAATGGGATTGTCTCCTTCCTTTCGTGCTCCTGCGACTGGACCTAAAAAGACCCAAATTTAGGGTCTCTAACAGTATCAGTGAATGGTTAACAACTGGGAGAACATATCTGATACCAAATGATCCAGCAAAAGGAGCAGCACCAGGAAACTACATGCTGATAACATGTCTGCCCACTATGTTTAAACTACTGAACGGCATCATAGCTAACAGAATTCAAGATTGTCTTGAAGAAAAGAACATCTTGCCAGATGAACAGAAAGGCAACAAATGGAAAAGCAGGGGCACAAAAGACCAGTTATTAATTGACAAAATGATTCTGGAGAACTGCAAAAGCTGAAAAACTAATATCCACATGATGTGGATTGACTACAAAAAAGACTTTGACTCACTCCCACACTGTTGGATCATCAAGCACCTAGACACCATTAGGGTTTGTAAAAACATTGGCATTTTTATTGAAAATATGACGAAGCATTGGAGAACTGAACTTTTTTTGTTGGAAATGAAAACTACGGACTTGTCAACATCAGGAGAGGAATTTTCCAGGGAGACTCATTGTCCCCACTGCTTTACATCGTTGCCATGATCCCTCTGTCAACAATCTTACAGAAAACAAACTTCAGCTATCAAATGTCTAAGAAATCTCACAAAATTTCACATCTGCTGTACATGGATGACCTGAAGCTGTATGGGAAAACCTAAACAGAAATCCAGTCTCTGACTAACACTGTCCAAATCTTTAGCACTGATATTAACATGGAGTTTGGTTTGGACAAATGTTTGATAGTGGAACTGAAGAAGGGAAACATCAATGAAAGTGAGGGCATAAATACGTCTAATGGCTAAGCAATAAAGTGTCACCAGCCAGAGGCCTATAAATATCTGGGCATACTACAGCTGGACAACATCAAACATGAACATGTGAAAACTGTGGTCAGCAAAGAATACATTCAAAGAGTCAGAAAAATTATCAAAAGCAATCTCAATAGAGGTAATACCATCAAGGCCATAAATACCTGGGCCATAGCTGGGCCATATCTCTACAGCATGTACTGCTGGCATCATAAACTGGACACAGGCAGAAAAACAAGAAAACTCATGGCCACTATTCACTACATCCTCACAATGATGTTGACTGGCTCTAACTGCCTAGAAGGTCTGGTGGCAGAGGACTCTTACAAGAAAAACAAGCACTTGAAGAAGAAAAACATGCCCTGGCAGAATATGTAAAGGAAAGCAAAGTACCTGCTTTAATTGATGTTAATAACCAGAAACTTCTCAAAGCACAGCAGACAAAGAATCAGTACAAGAAAACTACACTACAAACCAGAGCTGACAGCTGGCACAACAAAGCATTGCATGGGCAGTTCCTTGACAAAATTGAAGGAAAAGTTGATAAGGAGAAAACCTGTTTAAGGCTCACAAATGAAACACTGAAGAAGGAGACAGAAGGCCTGGTTCTTGCAGCCCAGGAGCAAGCCATCAGACCCAATGCAATTAAGGCCAGGATTTAAAAATCAGCTGATGACTCAAAATGCAGACTGTGCAAGGAAGCTGATGAAACCATTGATCATATCCTCAGCTACTGCAAAAACATTGCACACACAGACTACAAACAGAGGCACAACTATGTGGCCCAATGGATTCATTGGAACTTATGTCACAAGTACCACCTGTCAGTAGTAAAGAACTGATGGGATCATAAACCTGAAAATGTAGTGGAAAATGGATGCAACAAAAATACTGTGGGACTTATGAATCCAGACTGACAAAGTTTTGGAATACAATACTCCAGGCATCACAATTGTGGAAAAGAAAAATGTTTGGATTATTGATGTCGCCATACTCAACCGTTATTAGGATCTCAAAATGGAACTGCAAAGGCTCT